GCATCAGTCTACCGAGCCGATCGAATCGTGGAAGTTATGACCAGGGCGTGTTTTCAGATATCGAGGGAGAGTTTTCGACCGACGAGCCAGCACCTCCGCGGCAATTCATTCTTCGAGAGCCCACTCCACCGTATCCGGATTCTAGACAGGGCATGAAACGACGGGCATCCTCCCCTCCGCGTGAGCCGATGAGCGACGATAGACATACATTGCACGTCGCTACGAGTAACGGAGACTTGTCTCAGCGAAGACTGAGTGGTCATCCATTTACTAACACACTATCGGTCTACCCCAACTACCCCACGAGTCAACGAACCCTCTCAGCCGCCTCATCCTTGAGCATCCGGACCTCGGGCTCGTATTCGTCCACGTTGTCTATTGGAGGTAGTAGTATGACCAGCCTTTCTCCGTACGACCGGCCGTCTCCAGGAGGTTTCTCACCAAGCTCCGATCTCGATACTTTTCACGAAAAATCAATTCTCAACCCCAGCTCTCCTGCGGCGCTATCTCAGGCTACTCTTTCAAGACTTCCAGGGCCTGCGTCTTTAGAACCGCCTGCGACAGACGCTACTGGAAAGATGCCTGTGCCGGCGACCATTATGAATGTGCCAAAGCCAGCCGCGCCGAAGATCGGCGGACTGTTCATCTGCGATTGTTGTCCAAAGAAACCCAAGAAATTCGACAATCCAGATGGCCTACGGTAAGTTTTCCGTCGTGGTGTCTTCATTATATGAGCCATACTAATTTAAAATAGTGCACACGAGATGGAGAAACAGTACGCATGCGCCTACTGCAACCACCGCTTCAAGAACAAAAATGAAGCCGAGCGCCACCAAAACTCCCTCCACCTCCGACGCCATTCATGGTCATGCGCTGCGCTCATGAGTTTCCAATCAGCATTCCACCCCTCAGGCGCACAGTCCTGCCAGACAAATGCCGGGGCTACCCACGACACGTGCGGCTACTGCGGAGAGGAATTCCCAAATTTCCCTGAAGCAGACTGGGATCGACGATTCGAGCACTTGACCACGGTGCATAAATTCGGCGAGTGCAATAATGCGAAGAAATTCTTCCGCGCAGACCACTTCCGACAGCACCTGAAGCATAGCCATGCTGGCACTAGTGGAAAGTGGACCAATATCTTGGAAAACGCTTGCATGAAAGAAGAGCAGCCGCCTGAACCTCGCGAGCCGAGGGGACCTAAGGATAAAGCTGCTGGTCCCCAGGCCGGGGGTTCGTTGACGTCTAATGCCATATCGGAAGTTCTTAGCGAGCAATGACAATCAACAAGTCGTGTTTCCCTTGATCGGGAATTTACTCTGCCTTGTGGTATCAAGCTACAAGATGGTTCCCCGCAAGCGGCTCTGTGCTGTTAATTGCATTCCTCGCTAGTTCATACTCCCGGGCGTTGGATGATAGTTCATCTTTGTGGCAGCAGTTGTCTCTTCTTTTTTGGACAATCGAGATTTTATACCCATTCTCATTTGTCGATGATTCTGAAAGTAGAATCTTGAAAATCTACACCACATACCTGTTATAAAAGACAGCATCACCTCAACACCACACCCCGGGTCATTCCTCATCTCTCGCCAACAAAAACATCAAAAAACAAAAAAAAACCTCTCATTCATACTAGAAAAGGCAAAGTGAAAAACAAGACACTTATCAAAAAGCCAACTAAGGCACAAAAAAAGCCTGAAAATAACGACCTGCAACGAACATTTTGGAATTTTTCCTTTTCCACGGAAGGAGAAGGGGGACAAAGGGAGTTATATAGTCGGGGACTGGGATGTTTTCTTTTTCAGTTGGATCAAAACCTCTGTGTATACCCTTGCATTGCAATGGCCTGGGAGGATTCCTCACATCATTCTCATCTCATTTTTACATGGAGTCGGTTTCATGGTTGGTTCTTCGACTGGGTGGACTGGAACACTGAAATACTGAAATACTGGATGGAATATTTGCGTTCGGCTTGTCTATTCTGTTGTTTTTTTTTATGTTCTGATATGCTCTTATATATATTCCCCGCCCGTTTTATACATACTTTTTGTTGGATGGAACATGTGAGGCGAATGGAGGGCGTTGTATATAGATTCTTTTCTTTTTGCATGGTAGCCTTCTCAAAATATATGGCTTTTATGCCTTTTGGTCATTTTGATATCTTTCCAGGCTCTGCTAGTGGATTTCTGAGTACATATATATTAATTGAATGCTATTTTGATGTACAGATACATACAGATACGCCTAGTGACTAGGCAATGCTCAACTAAAAGCCAAAAAAAGGTACAAAGATATTCAAAACATAAGACCCCGAGACGATCTACTTAAAATCTAGTAGGAAAATGCCTGGCCAAACCCGGAAATCAAAAGAAACCACCCAACCAATTCCATCTACTCAGTAACACTATCCTTAATACTCCGCAAGGCACTCATCTTATGCATGGGATCAATAGCAGCAGCATTCTGCGCCCGACGACGGGCATCAGCCCAAAGCATAAACTCACCATACCCCTTCGGCATAACCTGCACATCCTTCTCAACAAGGAAAGTATAGTTAAACATACCAGTTGACTTCTTCGTACCGTGCTCGACATCGCGAACCTTGGAGTCAACACGCACCTGCACCTTAGTGTACTTGGTGCTATCACCCTCACGCTCCTCGGGTTCCGTGTACGCGACCGTCGCGCGCAGATACAGCACGCTGCCTACGGGGACTGGGTTCTCGAAGGTGCTGGGATCGAGGGCGACGAAGTTTGGCCGGGCGTGTGCGAAGGATGCCGCGCAGCAGAAGGCTAGCTCGAAGGTTTGTTTTAGGAGGAATCCACCGAAGATCATGAAATTGTGTCGGTTGCGGTATTGGGGTTGCATGATCATCGCGGATTTAAGCACTGTGTCGCTCATGAATGCTTGGTTTGCTGGCCGGATAGCTGGGTTTTGGGGGTCTGCGTGCGGCCAGGTTAATATTCTCTTGCATTTGAGTGACGTAATGGGGGAAAGGGTTTATGCTTACTTAGGTAGGATACCTCCTTTGTCCACATTGAGTGGATCAGGTTGCTCTCTTCGTCGTCTGGGGATTTCTCCAGGAGACTGCGGGTGCGAAGGGCCTTCTTGGCCTGGTAATTCGCTTCGCCCTTTTGGAAGAGGCGCTTTTCCTCTTCCGTTTCAACGATGAGAGGAGCCACGGGCACGGGCCTATTGTCTGATGTTAGTTTGTGTGTATCGCTTGATAAAGAGGACGAACATACGTCTTGGTGGTCGGATTCAGTGAGACCATAGTGAAAGCACAGGTGATCAGGACATCTTCTGGCTTGGCCTCCTGTCCTTCCGGGCGGGCCTTGGTGACCTGAAGGGAGATTTCCATACTTGATCGACCTGTCGCGTAGGTACATTGACCGCTGAGCTCAAGGTCGCAGATTTCCATGAGCGGGTTCTCAATGGTGATCCGGTCACAGGCCGCAGTGACAGTGGATACACCGTCACCTGTATGACGGTAAGCAATGATGCCAGCTAGGGCATCAAGATCCATCAGAAGTGATCCCAATCTAATCGGAATGATCAGTCAAATGTTCCTTTGGTGGTTAGGCTAGCAAAGACATACCTAATATGCCCGGAGGCGTTGAGATAAGAATCCAAGAGCCATTTGTCTTGGGCCAAAGGCAAAATCTACAAACCAGTCAATATAAACATGCTGATTTCAACTTCACCAAATACAAAAAAAAAAAAAACGCACAGCGCTGTAATGGCTATCCGACATCTTCTTCGGCGAGACATCGGGCTTAACGCTCTGCCCAGCCTTCTCCTGCGGCCCGGCGTTCTCAGCCTCGCGAATCTGTGTCAAGGCGTCAATCCATGGCGTTTTGACGCGCATGGGCATCCACGTGGGCCGGGACACTGCCTGAGATGACGTGGAGTGGAAATCCTGGGTGTTGATACAGGATGGCTGAGCTGCGACTGCGGCTCGCGCGGGCAGCGCAGCCAGAGATTTTGAGCGAGCAAGCGCTGATCTTCTACTGAGACCCAACATTGTGATATCGAAGGAAGGAGAACCAAAAACGCGATAGAAATGTAGATGTCCGATAGATTAAACTTGGTGCTCAACAAAATGACGATGTCCCGAGGATCCGATGTATATACAGTGGCTTATAGCGATCAAAAGGGGTTTAATTACTTCGTGGCTTGGCAGAAAGTGACCGCCCTAGTCACTAGACTTTCCAAGTCAATTTGTTGACAATTTACTTGATTTAATGAGATTATTTAAATACAAGGTGGACATAAGTGCTGGATATTCCGGGTGTAAGATACTAAAATCTACATATTCTACTGTTTTACTGAGAACCCATTTGAGTCTATAAGTTAAGTCTCTCATGGTCACTGCAGCTTTCCTTATGGTCTACAGCTGAATACTGACGCCCCCGGGGATTTTCGGCCCGGATACGAAAAGCGATGTCATCGCTTCCGATGAGGGCCCTGAGGGTTTTTGATATTTGTTTTTTTATAGATGCGGTTTGTAGCTGAAGGCCACCTCCAAGGTAAAGTACAAGCGTACAGATATGTCTGATATTGGAGAGGCACAATCCGGCGACTCAGCCATGGTGTCATTAAATCAAGCTACGGGCTAAACCCAACTAGTTGTCATACATATCTCTGTCAGGATACGACGGATCATCCTCAGCGGTCTTGCACTTTCAAGGAAAGTAGCTCTTTGTCACACTATGAATGTCAAGGTTGAAACCTAACACGCTCAACTGAAAGCAACAAATTGAAATGTGAAGGGAAGATTAAAACTCATGATTCGTACATTGGAGTTCATTTAAGCTTAACCAAGCTCCGGGTATTCTCCGATGGCCAAGCAGCGTCAAGATGAAATCATCGATAAGATATTGACTTATAACACAACTTGGAAGCAATTAGTTGTTTCGTTTTTGTATTCTTTTGAATCTATATATTTGACTTGAAGAAACTCGAATTTCTTTTTTTAAAAAAACACATCTATCTGCAATATGAGTGACCCAGCAAATCCACATATCAAAGAGCGCACCACACCTCAATGGGGTCTTTACCAGCGAGAGAACTTCTGGAAACAGAATGAAGGAGTAACACCGCTCTTCAACACCGGCAAGTTTTCATTATGATCCCTCCAAACCCACAGAAGCCTAAGCCTAACTTCCACAGACCCCCGAAAAATGGAAGAAAGAGCCAAAGAAAAGCTGAGCGAGGGCGGCTGGTACATACTACCTCCCCATCCCAATATCCCAAACATAAACTAACAACAAGCAACAGGTACTACGCCTCCTCAAACGCAGGAATGTCAAACACACACCTGGCAAACCGACAAGCCTTCTACCGCCACCGACTAATCCCCAACCAACTAATCGACACCAACAACCGCTCAACCAGAACAACGATCTTCGACCACAAAGTCTCCGCCCCAATCGGCTTCGCCCCAATCGGAATAAACAAAATCTACCACGCAACCGGTGAAGCCGCCGTCTCAAAGGTCGCCAACGAGCTCAACCTCCCCTACTGCCTCTCCACAGCCGGCAGCACATCAATTGAAGACGTAGCCGCGGCAAACGGACCTTCCGGAACACGATTCTTCCAACTGTACATGCCACACGACGACGAGCTAACGGTCTCACTTCTCACGCGGGCCTGGAAAAACGGCTTCGACGCACTGATTCTCACGACGGATACATGGCAGCTCGGATGGCGACATGATGACGTCGCGTCGTCGAATTATGCATTCTACCGCGGATTCGGTGCGGACCTAGGTCTTGCTGACCCTGTTTTCCGGAAGAGATGTGTTGCAGATGGGATTGATCCTGATGTTGATGTTGTTGCTGCGTCGACGAAGTGGATTGATTCTGTTTGGCATGGTCGTGCTTGGTCGTGGGAGAAGATTCCTTGGTTGATGGAGACGTGGAGGGGCATTAGTGGGGGGGCGGCCATTTGTGATTAAGGGGATTCAGTCTGTTGGTGATGCGAGGAAGTGTGTTGAGCTTGGGGTTGATGGGATTGTTGTGAGTAATCATGCTGGTAGACAGGTTGATGGGGCTGTTGCTAGTCTTGATGCGCTTGAGAGGATTGTTGAGGCTGTTGGGGAGAGGATTTATATTATGTTTGATTCTGGGGTTAGGGGGGCGAGTGACGTTGTTAAGGCGTTGGCGCTTGGGGCGAAGTTTGTGTTTATTGGACGGCTTTGGATTTGGGGGTTGAGTATCCAGGGGGAGGATGGGGTTCGACATGTTATGAAGTCGTTGTTGGCGGATTTGGATATTCTGATGGGTGTTGCTGGGTACAATGGGGTTGAGGATTTCAATCGGGATATTCTTGGTGAGTTTTGTTTCTTCTGGGATGTGAATATGGATGCTGACTTTGAGACGCAGAGTCGGACCCGAAGAATTATACGCTCATACCACAGAAGACATTGTGAATTGAGGACATTTCGGGGTGGATGCTGCTTTAAATCTCATATATGGCATCCTATAGCATACACGGACGACTTGTTACTCTACTCCAGACATATGACTCAAAACTACACATCTTCGGCTATAAATACAATCCATGACTACCTAGGTGACTAGCTACAAAATGAAAGAGGATGTGGTTAAACACCCCCCATGTATTCCGTGGGACTTGTCAAGTGACTATGGTACCCAAATGCTTAGCCACTTGTCAAAGAACACACACGAGAAAGCCCGGTTTGATTTGGATGCTGAGCTGCATGGGCCTCAACAATGTTGATGTCTCATGCATAGGCATCGGGGTGCTACAGGACCCTCGGCCTACGCTATCTCATGGGGCTACGGGGAGATGGTGGCCGTGAGGGATGAGAACAGGAAAGAGGAGAAGAGAAAGAGAAAGAGGAAGAAAGGTGGGAGTGGTCCTTTTATACCCTCAATAACACGTACCTTCCTAATTTGGACACCTGACTTGCACCTTCCCTCATTGTCAATGTCACATGTCACCTGGGCAACTTCCCACCCCATAGAGCTAGTTCATATCGAAATGTGTGCATTGATTAGATATTATCAGAATTGAAAGCTTCCAAGGTTTATTATGAGACTTTGGCGTCTTGCCCATGGTATTGTAGACTTTTGGCTATCTGAATGAAAATAATAGCAAGTCATGTCCAGTTCAAATGAAGGAGACATATCGGATGTTTAACACGAAACGAGTGATATATGCAGCTGAAAAAAAGCCGAATAGACAAGGTGGCGCCAACGTATGCTAGTATGAGTGGGTAATCGTATGTGAACCCAGATGTATTAACAGAAGTAAATGATGTGCATGTACAATAATACAATGTGCACGGAAAGGAGGTGGGTGATAAGTGAGTGTACAGTAATAAAAGGAGCAGAAATATGATTGCCACCAAATCAAAAAGAAAAGAAAAGAATAATGCCAAGAAGTGAAAGATGGGCTAAAATGCAGTTCAAATAGCAAATGCACCAAGCATGACCGTGAGCATAGACCAGCTAATGCCACGGATGAGGTGGGATGCGGAGCTGTCAGAGACTGTGGCCATGGTTGAGGAGGTCGATGATGATGTGGGGTCAGCAGCAGACGGAGCAGTGTCAGTGACTGGCGGTGCAGTGAATGTCCCGTTGCCCTGGGACGTGGATGAGGTGGAAGAGGATGAGGTGGAAGATGAGCTTGAGTCTGAGGCCGAGGCAAGCGCGCCAAACCCGATCTGTCCATTGTCAAAATCGAACACGGTGTAGACGTTCTTCAAAAAGACATCGCCGACAAGCCAGTTTGCACCGTTGGATGCATAGCCGACAATGGTCGAAATGCAGTAGGCTGAACCGTCCGACTCGGCGTTTCCAACATAATCCTTAGGGGAGACGTTATATTTAACACCAGAGAACTCGAACTCTATGGTAGCAGTCGAATTGCATGGGATCAAATAGTTGTTCGGGTTGGAAGGCTGTTGAGATGAATGAGGGACGAGAGAAAACAGGGTTTTGGCATCCGCGGGAGGGATCAGCAAGTAGGTGGTTCCGGTGTCGATGGTAGCGGATTTTCCGGTAAAGTTGCAACTTTGTCCATTCACATAAGCATCATCCACGGGGATGCTCCATATTTTCTCGTTCGTGGCAGTGTAGGAGATAGTACCATCGAACTTGGTTGTATCGACACCACCAAAGTTGATTTCTCCATCCTTATTGTTGTCTGCTGAGCGAGAGAGACTGAACCCAACCAAGTTTGACTTGATGAGGTTTTTCTCAGCAACAAGATCCATGAAAGATGGCAAATCCCACCCTTCCGTACGCGATCGACCCAGGCCAAGGATCCCGTCGAATGGGTAACTCTGAAAAGTTTCCGAGGCATTGTTAGCCAGACCGAAAGTTTGCGAGACTTCGAGCCCTGCAATTGAGAGGACGTCTTTCCCCATCTTTCCTGAGACCTTGCCGCTACCATAAAAGAGGCTGAACGTTGAATCGTCGGTGGTATAGCTGGTTGATGCTGACCGGTCGAACTTGTGATGACGTGTGCAGACAGGCTCGGTGCATTTCGAGTCAAAGACCCAGGTATTGGGTGCTCCAGTGTCGATTGCCATCCACATTTCTTGCTTTTGAGAACCTACTTGGACGGGAGAGAAGTATGAATAGTCTGTTCCGTCCTGATTTAACGGTGCACTTTTTGCCAATGTTGGCTTGTGGGATTCAACAATCTCATAGCCATCGTTGCGGCGAACGGGCATTTTTTTTCAGATCAAGGGTCCATGGTTTGTCGGCTGTGTTCGATGTGTCGGTACTGTCGGTGCTCTCATCGTCGGATTTGACTTCAATTAAGCTCCATGGGACAAAGCGACGTTCGACTGTAGTTTCCATCGAAAGTTTCATCCCCAATTCCCATGGGTAGAAGGCGTGCACGCCCGAGATGCCGGCAATGAAGACCAGACATGATGAGAGATGCATGGTCCCTGGGGGAGTTTAGGCAGAAAATGTAGAAGCCTGCATTTGATGAAACGAAGCCGGATTCAACTGGACGTCTCTCTATTCAATATAACGGTTGTTCGCTGTATGGTGGAGCTGGGGTATTGGGACTAGAGAAGTTCAAAGGCTGAATTAAGAGATAGATTGAAGTAAAAAGGAAAAAGCAGAAAATAAGATAGCAAGTTAAATAACGAATTGTAAAAGATGAGGAGGTTGGAGAGACACGAAATGTGCCCATGAAAGATGTGAGGGGGGAGTGGCGGACATGGTTCTCCACCGTTAAATCCCCCCTCCCCTGAGTAAGTTGGCAAGAACACCAGTTGGCTCTAGACTGGAATAGGGTTAGTTCCCCATACCAGGGACTATCCTCCACTTGTCTAACGCTCATTCTAGAACTGATCGGCTGGTTAAAGGAAGCTAGTGGAGTACGGGCGACTAAGTATGCCACCCGACACATAACTCCCGAGGTCTCTCATTGGTTTATAATCTGAAGTGAATCTGAACTGAATCTGAATTGAATCTATAAAGTGTATAGTATACAAATAATTAGTCGCCCGTAGTGGAGTTAATGTAGAATCTATTGATGAAATATTGATAAAGAAATCATGTAGACAGATTCTTGATAAGTTGAGTTGGACGAAGAGGAGAAAGAGAGAAAGAGAGAGAGAGGCTATCTGGATCTGTCATCATGTGGGTCTAGATGCCTTGGGCATTCAGGCATCCATCCAGACATCCATCCAGACACCCAACAGGAGTCCAAGCTTAATGTTCTTCTATATCTAGGAACTTGAATGGGGTTATGAAATATCTTGAATCTTTAATTTTTTTTTTTGACTATTTTTATACCTAATATTGAATATTATTGCTTCAGAAAACCGGGGTATGTCCAAAAGTAACGTGGATGCTAAGTTAGTTAAACAGCTAAACATTGAAGTTCTTTCATGGCAACACTCAAAGACAGAAATAGAACGCGAATAAAAAACAAATTCAAGTGAAACCCCCGAATGTGACTGTACTTTGTTACCCATTCGTACAATATAACCTTGGAAGGTCTAGACTCGCAGGATTTACGCCTCCACTTGGGTCGAGAACATCTGATCCTGACAACCCTGACAGGGACCACTTCTTTTGGGATACTTGTGTCTACTTACTCCAAATCACCGATTAAACTATTCAAATTGATTCGAATGTCAATGACCAGTAATTCATATGATTTATACGTATATTTATGTATTTTGAGCGGATCCAATTGAAAAAAATAACAGTGGCAACCCAAAAATAGATATATCATGCAGATCACCACCTGTGGAGACTGATAAACTCGAACAATTATATCATGAACCAAGCTAGTTACCTAAAAACCAATACTCTTTTATACCACCGAATAACTAAGTCGAAGTGCAGATGTACCAACATTGCAAGTCTAACAAGGTCTTGCACTTGTGTCACAAGAGACTGCGTTGGATGCCAATAATATTCAAGAAACCGCCCACTACAAAATTCACACTGTGCGACAGGTATCAGTACAGTACCTCGGTATATAATCAAATTTTGAATATCAGCGACCATACATCTTAATTCGATACCAGAGTCATGGTATTTGCTATTGCCCCGTCGCAATTCATGTGCTGGAGTGAGTGTATTGTTAATGTCTAGATTTGGGTCGGCTAAATATGCCTATTGAAAAGAGGAACTTTTAGTGACTGGTCATATGGTGAATAATAAATAGACTGGAAGAACCAAAGGTCCCCGACAGATGACGGACCAAGGAAGTAGCATAAAAGGTTAGTTACCACGACATGCATTGACCTCATGTAGAACTCATTTTGTCAACATCCAACATCCAACAAGGCATAAAACCAGCCCTGGAGTACGGGTAGATCGTGACGCAAAGCCACAGACCCCTTGCAGCCCAACCAACACGAAAGCACCAGCCACATATAGCCTGAAAAAGGCAAACAAAATAGTCATCGTGAAAAAAAAAAATATATATCCAATGACGCACAAAGTCGTCAAAGATTGATAAATCAATCAGATAATCACCCCAGCTCTCCCCGAAATAGCCCGAGCGGGACTCCGACCTTCCCCACGAAACACCCGAACCCAATCCGCCCCATCGATCCCACGGACAACAGGAAATTACAAGCGGGAAAAAAAAGAACAAACCTCGGAACCGCAAAGATATTACCGACGATGCCGCTAGAGACACGGATGAAAACAAAAAAGAAGTGGGCTAATTCGATTCTGCAACATGCTGGATTCGGTATCCTAGCCCCGGTTTCTATTCTTCATAGCAGGAATATGCCGACGTCATTTTCTTGAGCTGGACAGGACTAGCGCTGTCGGGATCGGAGAATATGCAGCGAATATCACCTTTAGGGTTATTTGGGTAGTTATCTCGGTGTGGCACGCACATGCGTCCGTCCGATGGACCGTGGTATAATTGTCGGCGATGATCTTGGGAATTGATACAATGAATATCACTACCTAGGTAGGGCTGGTCTGGTGACCTCGGGTTAACGGTGTGTTTTGGTTAACAGTAGAGGAGTTCCGGAGAGTCCAGGTGGATCTGCCTTTGTCGTAGATCATGCGTAGTTAGTGGGTATCGGATCGAATGCCTCGGCACAACGAAAATCGCGGTGTTTCGGGGCTTTTTCCACGAGGGTATTGAGTCATTGGTGGCGATGGATTGGTGGCAATTTAGAGACTGGAGAGATGGGTATGGAATTGTTTGCTGTGTATTTTGGGTTGTTCTTGCTTTGCATCTTCTTACTGTATCCCAGTAGTGTATCATAGACAGAATTGGAACCGACAGAACGAACTTTCTAAAAGATTTCAATAGAAAAGGCCATGGCTTTTTGATCAGGTTGATATGGATAGTAATGTCCAATTGAATTGGAACAACTCGACAGAGCTGTCGTGAATAATATGGATAGAACCCAAAAGAAAAACAAAGCCAATGATCGACTGGCTGACACCATGGAGGAAGCCGTCCACTCCATGGGAAAGATATTACATCAAAACGCTACTTCAAAACAATCCGACGCACCCAAACAATAAAAAGAAAAGACAAAACAAAGCCCGTACAATGTACCAGACAACAAAAGAATTAGTTTCATCACAGACCCGTCAACAGGACTGAAAGACAACAAGAATAGACCAGATAAATATGAATCAAAAGACTCTACTTCCTCTGAACGGTCTCCTTGGGGCCCATAACATCATCAAGGAATCCAGCCCAAAGCTCACGTATGACACCAGGCTCAGAAGAACCATTTGATCTGCGCTGGATTTCCTCACCGACACGTGAGCGGCCGACAGCCTCGGTAAGTGAGAATGGATCCAGATCGATGGCGTGGTTATCGACGACCTCACTCATTGCGCTGGCGGAGACGTCAGCGCCGGTGCCGGACACGGTGTAGATCTGGGGCTTCATGGGTGGGGCGGTGGATGTTTGACGCCATGGGATGGAGGGGAGCTCGGGAAGGACCGGGACTTGGATGCTGCGTTGCAGAGGGGCAGCGTCGAGGTCTGCCATGCTGGGCATGTAGACGAAGTCGACGGTGGAGGTGTCGTTCAGGGCTTTGGTGGCGCGGGAGGTGTTGAATTGGCGGGAGGAAGAGGAGCTGGAGGGTGTTAATTTTGGGGTTTGTTTGATTGACGGTTTGGAACGGAGGTATGGGTGGATGTTTAGGAAGGATTGGGTGGGTGGGACATACTCTGAGAATGCACTGCCATTTATTCTACGCATGGCGATGCTGAAGGCGCGGGATTGAAGGACATCATGGTTGGAGAGGGCCTTCTCGCCGTTGTTGGCAGGCTGAGCGGATTGAACTCCGGTGATGTGAAGACTGCGGCGAGCAGAGGGTGCCACAGGCTGTTGGGAGAGAGTGCGCAGAGCGCGAAGAGATGATGAACGGGGAGCAGTCATTGTGATGGTGGTGAAAGTGTATAGAGTTATAGATTTTTTGAGATAGGGCTAGGTTGGGAGGCTTGATAAAGACGTAGGCCTTCCAAGTATAGTGGGAAAAGGGAAAGTAAAAAGGGGGAGAGTAGGGAAGTATTGGAACAGGACGATTGGGAGCTTTATAGAGCTGAGAATGGTTGGGGAGAGCTATGAGGCCACTTCTTGGCGGTCTGGACCGTTATCGATAGTGTCGATAGTGTCGATAGTGTTGACCCAAAAAAAAAAAACCAAGTAGAGCACGTCAACACTGGGGAAAAGGGTAGTAGTGGGTGATTTTGTTTGATTTTGTTCCACGGATTTGAAATTTAAAAGAGAAATTTAAAAAAAGATGTGCTGGCAAGAGGGGAAACAATAATTCCCTCTCTATATATATGCTAAATACCCGTGAATGTTCGGAGTTCAACAATTCTCCCAGTCAGAGATCTACGGCGTAAGTACAAGGTACCCAACTATTGGGTCTGTAGGCTACCCCGTATCCACCAGAACATGGAGTGACAAGATGTACCGGGTACATCACTTACCCCCCGAAAGTAGTGTATTCTGTACTTTCTGGTTGTATATCCCCCCTCTCTCCAATCTCCTGAAACTGGTGATCATTACGTCTTCTTTGGATGATCATCCAATGGGATAATCACCACCATAAACATCGGCCATTATTGGGTGTCTTACTGCAGAACGGGGTAATCTGTCGACTAATCGTACCCTACCCACCTGAGCGTACTCCGTACTGTGTACAATGTAGGCCCCCCCCTCATTGAACCTACAACATAGGGGAAAGTGAGAAACAGGGAGCGATAT